CAAATTAACAAGAATTTCCTGTTTATACTTCTCACTCAACATATCCAAGCTTTTAGTGCCCGATCTATCATCTCTTGGGGGATTTTTGTAATTTCTTCCCAAATGGCACGTTTTAATCCATTTAATGTGTGCACATTTTGATTCTTAACTGTTTCAGGTAGCTCCAAAAGAAATAATTGCAGCAAGCAGCATCAGGACTGTTTGGCAACCATTGTGAGGATTTGATAAATGCAATTTTGCTTATCTATAGAATGCAATCGTAGCCTTTACTATATGTGAAAACACAGAGTCCTTTCAGAAGAAAGGACGAAAAGTCTTCTCAGTGTAGTATTTTGATGATACTTTTGCCACAGGATCTATGAAAATAGACTTCGTTGCTTCCTTCACTGAAATTCTGGCCTAAACCATAACCCTTGCAGATGAGATGCTAAAATTGATGGTAACGGGTGATACATCAGAGTAATTTTGGCTCCTATTAATGTAGCAGACCTTCCTTTCGCCTTAGGATTTAGTGAGATAGAATCTAGTTTTATCAGTTGTACTAAACTTTTGCCATTTACTTTCACTTTGATTTTTGTAAGTCTGTATAGAGCTTAAATTTTACATGTAAATAAAATTAGATATAATACAGTGTTATTACAAATGATTCATTGAATTTCAAGCAACTATATTTCTCAAAATAATTCTGATTTAACAATGAGTGATATATTAAAATAACTGGAAACTGTCCTAGTTTGTAGTGTAGGACTACAGATGTTCTGTATATATTCCATTGGTAACATATCACATGCCAAAGCAGTAGTCCAGTTTGCCCCATGCATTGTAGCTTGTTTCCCTGGATAATCATAACTGGAATGGTAATGAAGTCTGGGAGCCAAAGATGTCAGTAATGGCAGTACATAAACACTGTCCTTTACATACCCCAAGAGAAGAAAATCACAAGATGTGAGGTCCGGAGATCTGGGAGGCATCTATATAGCACTGTCATCATTACTGCAATGCCCAATTCAGAGATATAGAAGTTCTGCATTCAGGTATCATCATATCTCTGTGTAAATGAAGTAGGGTCTATCTTACTGAAATACAAAATCAATGCCTTCTGCTGCTTAGCCACTATTTTGATAATGAATGTTATGCTGCCACCTAGCATGTTGCAAGGAAATCTTCACACATATGTTTCAGATTTGGAGAGTTTTTCTTTCATTTCATGTCTAACATGGTTGACCCAGCTCAATACTTTGGGAAATTACAGGACTTTAATATCTGATTCATTTGTAATAACCCTGTATTTATAATGTCATATATGCTATCAAGTCAATCTTATTTTTAATTAAAATTAATGGCAATGGTATATATTTTTAAATATAAAAATATTGATTAAAAGCAAACTTAACAAAAACTGATGATTTCAGCATTTACATTATTATATATAGAGATTANTGTAGAAAGTTCCTGTTAATGCCCACAGGACAGAATCAAAAAATGAGAGATCTGCCACTCAGAGAGCAATTTCTTTACTTGCTCCATCCTATGGGCATTAAGTGAACCTTTTCTTCACTGCAACAAATATATTAAAACATCTTTTCAATTTAGATACTGTATTAGACAATGTATTCTAAAATTGTTTTAACAGATAAAAAATTTTTTCCTATAATCAAATGTATTTTTAATAAACCATTAGTTTTCATAATGCTTAAATGTTTTTTCCTCTCTGCAATCTATCTACATTCTGAAGCACTCTCACTTAAGCATAGTAAATATCAGTAATTTAAAGGTTTGCTAATTGTATAAAAGTTTAATAATTTGATACACATGTAATGAATGAACTTTATTCATTCTATTATTACAGCTTTCAATGCATTAATGCAAAGTGTATTCTTCAGAATATACAACATTTTTTTTTCTTTTTTATTTTGTAATTTACCATATTTATAACAACAAATTTATAAGAAATGTTTTATAAATTGCATTTAGAAACTGCTTTAAGTACTGGAAAATTCCTCAGTACATTTTCAAATAAATAAAGAAACCACACATTTAACTCTTTAATATAATAAAATTATTTATCCTTTCAAACCAAATGTATTTAAGTATAAGGATTCAAAAAGGAAGCTATTAAAAATTACTATTACTATATTCATAATAACAATGTTTATATTTAAATAGAAAACTTTAAATTTTTTTTATCAATAATAAGAAAAAACCAAAATACCATATTCAAATTTATAATTTAAATCATGTGAGATTACATAAATAATGACAATATAAAAAAACTATACAAACAAATTACATTATATAAATTCTAATTACTGCAATTCCGAAGATGTAAAATGCACATTATTATTAAGATAACTCAAAGAAAATATGGATAAAGTATACTATTTTACATCAATGAAAATAAATACATATAATTTTGGCATTTCACATAAATTTATTTTTTACATTTCAATTTAATTCAAATAAACTTATAGAAAAATTGTCTTCATTCATTTTAAATTATTATAAACAGGACAACATATTATAATCATTTAGCAAGTAAAAAATAAAGTTTTAATGACATTTTCGAAAGCCTTATTATGGTATGTATTGACAATATTGAAAGAATTAACATTTATAACAAAATACAATTTAACATTTTGTATAAGAGAAGAAAAAAAGCACACTTTAAATACAAATATATTGTTTAATAGAAAATATTTATATATCTTTATCAATAAACTTTTTTGATGATAATGGTCTTAAAAAACTTTTATATATGGTGAAAAATTACATTTGTTAGTTATATTAGTAATTTATTATACAACAACTTTACACACAATAACTTACAAATATACATATTTGGACAATATAAATTCAAATTAAACTTCACCAAGTCTGAAGAAAGAATAAAATATGCACAATGCTGGAATGTAAATCACATAAAAAAGTATTTTACAGGTTACAATAATAATTATTAATAAATGTACCTCAACATATATATGTTTACATTTTATACAGCATAAAGACATTCAGATCTCAAATCATCATGAAATATATATGGTACGTAAATGAATATAAATTTAAATATATCGGACAGATATTATTTGAAATACTAGAATATTTTTCTCATTTTATCAGGACTACAATTCTTTAAATTATATTTAAAATTATTACAAGTATCCTGTGAAAATGATATTGTAGCTTTCAAATAAAAATCACTATTTTAATTAAAACAATATTGCAAACATAAATTATTATTTTATTGTAATACAGTAATATTCTACAATAAACATGTTTTAACAACAGCTATGAATCCAACTCAAAAAAGATGGTAGTAAATTTATATATAAGTAAAGACACCTACAGTAGCTTACTTTCTTCAAATGAAAAGTAAAATGTGATAACAAAATATTGTCTCCTAGCTTATGTTTCATCTGAAGAAGGAAAAAGGAATAAAGCTGATGAAAGCTTAAGTACATCTAGCATATGCTCTGCATTTCATTTGTTTCAATTATATATTTAATCATAAATGTAACCTGTAAAACTGTACACTTTTTATAACAAACAGTATAAAAAAAAACTTAAAATGTTTCAGTTAAGATACTTTTCATTGATGATGCAAAAAATTATAAATTTTAATAACAAAAAATATTTTTATATTATTTTGTAAAATTGTAAAACACACAGCGAGAATATGGACTATAGTTAATAAGCTTTATAATAGTTTTAGTAATATATTATGCATACTGTATAATTTTTAGCATATTTTTTTTATATAAAAAATTGAATATATTCTACCATGTTTTGAAACCGTGTCATATTTTTTATATTTGTTCTATAAGCGCAATGTAGCGTAATAACAATCACTTGGCACAATTCATTTTATTTCACTTTTAATTGAAAAGTGAAATAAAATGAATTGTGCCATGTGATTGTTATTATGCTACATTGCACTTATAGAACAAAAATTGAATATATGTTAAAAATTAATTTATTTCAACTTTCATCTAATCTAATTACATTAATATTGATTAATAGTTATAACTTAATAAAAACAACATACTGAATTGGTAGGCAAATATTATTAAAACTTCTAAATTGTCAGAATTATTAGACAACTAATCCAAACTATCATGATGACTGTTTTTATTTATTATTTGACAATTCTTTTTTTATCTTCAACAATTTGGAAATTTAATTCAAATTCAGGGGCTTTATCCATTGGCTCCATGATCCTTACTATTGATTGTAATTTGAATTAAATTTAAAGTAAATAGATAAATAACAAACAAATCTAGTTGTCAGTGTTTTTCTGCATTTCAAATAGTTTGAGTTTTGTAATCTACTTCTAAACATGAAATTTTAATTGTATACACAAATAATCGATATTATGTCTTAAACATGGATTTAAGACGGCAGATGAAAGTACTTTTTCTAACAATCATACTAACATCATTAAATATAATCAGAGAAGAAAAAAGGAAGTAATTGAAGTTTGATTATTTTCTTTGTTTTCTTATATGTGCTTGACAATCTTGTGATAAACGAAGAAAAAAATTACATGCATCTGCCTTAAAATAAATCTTATAAACACCTGAATACAGTTTATATTTATAATTATATTAAAGTTAATAATTATATTGCTGTGTATTTTACAACTTGTGTTTTTGAAATTAAATTATAGAAAAAATTTAGATGTTTTGCATGGTCCAAAATACAATTCATAGCCAGTATTATACTTTAATTAAACTATATTTCACTTTCTTTGAAAGAATACTTTAAATAACTGTATTAATGAGATAATTCATTGCAAAATTAAATTTGATATTAAATTTTTCATTTTAATCTCATATAATAGTTTGTGCATAAAAAATAATAAAACAATAACAATCATAGAAAACTAAAATTCTGAATCAATCATTTATTATTAGAATCTAATTTTTAAAACATTTACATGTTGTAAAAAAAAATAAAATCAGATTTAACAATATTTTATTTTATATAATTCAACAATTTTTAAATTTTTTAAAAATAAGTTCATTATATGTGAAATTATATGACCATGTATTATATGATCCAATCATTATTAATACATAAAAATATGTAATTTTTATAAACAGAATTATATAAAAATAGAAAAATTTTTTGGCCACATTTTGACTAGTTATTACATTGATATCAATTTCAATCATTGACTAATGGAGAATTTCTAAAAGCTATACTGATATAATCAATATTAATAAAATCTTTTTTTTAAGAAATAATCATTGTTTGGTATTTATAAAAACTTTTTTATATCTTTATTACACTTACATTCACTATTTATTCAATTCAAATCAAATGATTCTTGCATTATATTAAAAAAAAATGTCCATCATTTATGCTTGATAACCTCCAGTCCTTAAAAAGAAAAAAAAGTTTGGACCATGCTGGCGTAAAAAATATACATATTGTTACTTAAATAAAGAATTTTATTAAATAAAGAAGGAATGTTAATTTTTATTATTTATAAACTTTAAGAAAATATGACTAGAAATAAAATTATTTGAAGTTACTGCTGTGGTGGTGCATATGGTGGTGGTACGTGTATATCAGGAGAAGTGCGGACTGGACTTCCAGTATCGACAGGCGTTTTTGGCACGCTTTGTGGTACAGGATTATCAATATCTTCATATGGTCCCCGCCCTAAAATGTACATAAAATTATATAAGCTCACATAATTGAAATAAATTTTATTTTAAGTATAAAATAATAACTTACCAAAATTAAGGCCAGGGATACTGAAAGTTGAATAACGGCCACTACGTTCATTATAAATTCGTAATAATATTATTGCTGATATTGGACGAATAACTATATTTGCAATACTCATACTGATAATTATCAAGAAAACTTTCTTAAAAAATCTTTCAAAATCAATTTAGTTAATATGTTTTAACTTATGTTATTTTCACTAATAGACATTCATATTTCTAAATTTCTTCAATGAAAACTTCCAACATTTATGGAAATTGGAAACTCTGCATGGCAATGAAACTAGACAATATACAAATACACAAAAATGCATATTTGATCATGCACATCTTTAACAGTCTTCCAAAAATACATTCAGACAGATTGCAAGCTAAATGTCCAAACTTAGCATCCATTTACTAATTATTTCAGTACATATAAAATTTTTCATACATCCTGAAACATTTAGAGTCAAAAAATTATACATTGACAAGTTTAATAATAACTAAATATAACAGGATATAATCCTGATAAAAATATAAAACTAGATATTCAATACTACTATTATGGTAGTTCCATTTAAGATATTTTTTGTTTTTTTAGAAGAATGCAAATTCAGGATATGACGGCACTTATCATTTATTATATTAGTTTTAAAATAAAGTACAGGTCTACAAAAAATCCACATAAACACTTTTTTTTTTGCTATAAATCTTATATGTAATTGTGTTTCTCAATGTGTTCCCCTTTTGCATAATACAGGAAATCCTCATTTGTTCAAAATTCAATAGGCAAAATATTCACAACTTCTGAATTATCTGAGATTATACACAGCGTGAATAAAGAGTGAATAATCCGTTACCTGCAGATAGAGGACATTATAACTGTTCAGAAAATTAAACATTGTGTTTAGTAAAACTGTCATAGTTTGAGTTATTTGACATTTTATATTTTTTTGGAAAATAGACTCCCTTGTTCACATTTTTCAATGTCATGGTCACAAATCAAGGATTTTTCCCAGTCTGTTTTTGAATACTAGTCTTGGATACATGTTCTATCAAACATAAACTGCCATTTTAGTGTCATAGACTTGGTTTCTTTTAGAACAAAAATAATTCAATGACACTAAAATGGCAGTTTATGTTTGATAGAACATGTATCCAAGACTAGTATTCAAAAACACACTGGGAAAAATCCTTGATTTGTGACCATGACATTGAAAAAATGTGAACAAGGGAGTCCATTTTCCAAAAAAATATAAAATGTCAAATAACTCAAACTATGACACTTTTACTAAACACAATGTTTAATTTTCTGAACAGTCATGATGTCCCCTATCCGCAAGTAACGGATTAGCCACTCTTTACGCCATGCCATATAACTGACATAATTTATTAAGCAATGAAATATGCATATGTACAAAAAATGCTATTTTTGTTAATTAATAATAGTAATATAAATGCAAAGGTAAACAGTATGTGTCCAGTGAGAACCTTTCAAGCTGCCAGACAGATTTTCTCAAAATGTAGCCCAAATTATTTTTAAAGTGGCCCAAAAAGTAGTAATTTGCCCAAACATACTAGCCTAGAACCCTATAAATATCTCAATCTGCTACTTCTAGCCCAATCTTACAATCCTGAAAACCAACCATATTTTATGAGATAAGAGAAAAAAAGGGTAGTCCATGGGTAAGGTGACACCTGAAAACGTGTTACTGTAAAAGCAAAGCCATATTGATCAAATTAGAGTTATTCTTGATCTATTTTTTATAGCATGGAGGCACTTTGATCTAAACAAACAAGTTAACATACTCTTATCACAGTTCAGACAGAATTTTCACTTCAAATTATGAAGTAGCCATATTTCAAACTAACCTAATTCCTTAACATGTAAATCTCTATATCCATGGCTGAAACCAATGTATGGTTATGAATTAACAGGATTTCAAACTATCCAAGTTCAAATTAACAAGAATTTCCTGTTTATACTTCTCACTCAACATATCCAAGCTTTTAGTGCCCGATCTATCATCTCTTGGGGGATTTTTGTAATTTCTTCCCAAATGGCACGTTTTAATCCATTTAATGTGTGCACATTTTGATTCTTAACTGTTTCAGGTAGCTCCAAAAGAAATAATTGCAGCAAGCAGCATCAGGACTGTTTGGCAACCATTGTGAGGATTTGATAAATGCAATTTTGCTTATCTATAGAATGCAATCGTAGCCTTTACTATATGTGAAAACACAGAGTCCTTTCAGAAGAAAGGACGAAAAGTCTTCTCAGTGTAGTATTTTGATGATACTTTTGCCACAGGATCTATGAAAATAGACTTCGTTGCTTCCTTCACTGAAATTCTGGCCTAAACCATAACCCTTGCAGATGAGATGCTAAAATTGATGGTAACGGGTGATACATCAGAGTAATTTTGGCTCCTATTAATGTAGCAGACCTTCCTTTCGCCTTAGGATTTAGTGAGATAGAATCTAGTTTTATCAGTTGTACTAAACTTTTGCCATTTACTTTCACTTTGATTTTTGTAAGTCTGTATAGAGCTTAAATTTTACATGTAAATAAAATTAGATATAATACAGTGTTATTACAAATGATTCATTGAATTTCAAGCAACTATATTTCTGAAAATAATTCTGATTTAACAATGAGTGATATATTAAAATAACTGGAAACTGTCCTAGTTTGTAGTGTAGGACTACAGATGTTCTGTATATATTCCATTGGTAACATATCACATGCCAAAGCAGTAGTCCAGTTTGCCCCATGCATTGTAGCTTGTTTCCCTGGATAATCATAACTGGAATGGTAATGAAGTCTGGGAGCCAAAGATGTCAGTAATGGCAGTACATAAACACTGTCCTTTACATACCCCAAGAGAAGAAAATCACAAGATGTGAGGTCCGGAGATCTGGGAGGCATCTATATAGCACTGTCATCATTACTGCAATGCCCAATTCAGAGATATAGAAGTTCTGCATTCAGGTATCATCATATCTCTGTGTAAATGAAGTAGGGTCTATCTTACTGAAATACAAAATCAATGCCTTCTGCTGCTTAGCCACTATTTTGATAATGAATGTTATGCTGCCACCTAGCATGTTGCAAGGAAATCTTCACACATATGTTTCAGATTTGGAGAGTTTTTCTTTCATTTCATGTCTAACATGGTTGACCCAGCTCAATACTTTGGGAAATTACAGGACTTTAATATCTGATTCATTTGTAATAACCCTGTATTTATAATGTCATATATGCTATCAAGTCAATCTTATTTTTAATTAAAATTAATGGCAATGGTATATATTTTTAAATATAAAAATATTGATTAAAAGCAAACTTAACAAAAACTGATGATTTCAGCATTTACATTATTATATATAGAGATTAACTTACTGACATATTTTGATTTATTTCTAGAAAAAAATAATGGCTAGTTTTTAATATTAAAATTTATGAAAAGGATACACAATAGCAAATCTCATGGTATGAGAGTTAGCTGTAAAAATAAAAAAAATTCCATTATATAGTAAATATTAAAATATTAAGATCAATAAGAAAAAATAACAATATTTCTTTAAAATAACTTTCTACAGAATTATTACTGTTTCATATAACATCTATCAATATATTCATAGAATTTATGAAATTTTCGGTATAACAAATATGTCTTGTTCATTATACTGAAAATTTCATTAAACTGGCATCCATTATATCGACATTTCACTGTATTATGTGAAAGCACTAAATTTAGTACACTTTTTTAAATATGAAAAGAACACATTTTACTAAATGGTACCATTAATGTGCATAATACATTTTGTTTTAATTAAAAATTAAATAATGCATATTGACATATGTTTACATTATAAGTAGTCAAAGCTGAATATAATTATTGTATTTACTCACATATAAGATGAGGTTTTTATTCATTTTTCACTGCTTCAAAAACCTAGGTTGTCCTATATGCATGAGCGAAGGATTCTTTGCGTTTTTGCAATAATTTTTGTGAACAGTGTTATTTGCATTTTTTACCAGATGCTCACCTGCTGATGTTTAAAAACAAAGATATTTTATCTGGGTCGTTTCAATCATTCTTGTGTATTGTGAGGAGTAAAGATGAATAGCAACAGGAAAAGTAAAGCTTTTGGATTGAATTTCAAATTGAAATTCCAAAATCACATGAGAGCCCGATATAAGTTTTAATCCATTTCCACATGAGAACAGATGATTATTGGCAAATCATAATTTGGAGAAACTCATAAGTGTAATCAACGGAGAGTGGATTTGACTATTAAGAATTGGCAAAAAAGGTTCCCGATTGTCCAACTTTACATGAACAAATTATGTTGTTGATTTTACAGGAATTTCCCTTAAATTTTGTTCTACAAAAATTACTAGCATTTTAATGTGTGCATTTACTTGCATTTGATATTTTATTTGTGATTAAATGAAATAAAATTAAAATTGTATTAATAAATTTAATTTTCTTTATTTTGATCTTTAAAGTCACACCTCGTCCTATATGCAAGCTCATCTTATATGTGAGTAAATATGGTAGATTATTAAATTACTATCCTTAATATTTTTATGGACAATCTTAATAATTATAAACATTGCAGTATTTGGAATTATTTACTTTTGTGAAATTCTTATACTATACCTGCCAATTTTGTGCCCATTTTTACTACCCATCAAAAACTGCCATCTGCCACTCAAGGCCTAGGCATACTTTTTCTGTTTGAAAATCAGTGTTGTTCAATTAGCAGTTGTTTTATTTAAATAACCATTAAAAGTATTTTGCTGAACTGACAATTAAAAACAGAACTATTTAAATTGTTTCATCTGACTTTTGGTTCATTCAGATTAGTTTTATTTAAATAGCTGCTAGATAAAATCTGCTTCAAATACTTTTAATTGAATTGAATTAATTTAACAAGAATTTGAATACTTGTAAAATAATAACATTTGAAATAATTAGATCAATCTGAGACAATACTTTTAATTAAATAAAACTATTTAATCAAAGTCACATTTGTTGAAAAATCCATTAAAAGTATTTTTTAAGTGTTATTCAATTTGTCATTTTGAATAAAGATTAACTGAATGCAGTCCATGTTGAGGGGAGCAAGGTAGACTAGATGCATTAAAAAGAGTGGCATATAGATCGTCACATATAAATTTAGTCAAAAGAGACTTACAAATAGTGTATTGACTAGTGTGTGTACAGACAGCATGGATGAACTATATGCTAAAATAAAAGTCTACTGGAACGTGAATAACTCAAATAAATCCCACCTTTATCTATCCAGCAATAAATATTTAATAACTTAAAAACATTTTTAATGGTCTTCATCAGTTAATCAAACATTAAAAAAAGAACATTAAAATAGAACGTATGGAATAAATATGAAAAATCAAAACAGGAATTGCGCATGAGGATTACTTATAAATAATAAGGTAAAAATAAAAATAAAGATAACATAAAAATAAGGCCACAACAAGGAAAAGACAGGATGAACTCCAGGTATTAACACATATCATTGTAAAAAGATTTCCATGCAGTGGACAATGTGTCTGCATCTCTATGATTAATGCAGCCTGTTCTCATATGTGCCTTGTACATCTCCAGTCTCTCAAGATGCCTCACTGCATGTTGGTCACAGTTCTGATAATGGATGCTTAATCCCAAAAGATGTTAACCTCTTGCTGTTTGGCAAATGATGCTAGAACAGTACTATCCAGGCTCTTATTAATGGAGTATCTGTGCTCTTTGATCCTTTGTTGTAACTGCTGCATAGTTGCCTCTACATAAACCAGGTCGGAATCAAAGCGTTGGTCTTTTAAAGGTATGGAATAAATTCCCGTCAAAGAACTCTGGTTCTTTTTCTACTTATCATTTCTTAACAATCCATAAACGATTTGATAAACAATTTGAAGATTATTAGTATTAGCAAGATCCTATGCATTTTGTTTAAGAATGGAAAATAATTTGCACTATTCTTCTTCTATGGTTCACTTTGGGAGAATGCTGACATTGATTCTGGAAAGATGTGATAAGCTTCTCTATCTCGCTTCTCCAGTATCCTTGCGTACTGCTATCTTAAGAATGTAATCTAACTCTTTGTAGGTATCATAAATGCTCATGCAACGAGTGTAGGCACATTTAATCCAAGCCCAGAATGATGCATATTTAATATGTCTGGGATCAACCGATTGACTCGGGATAATAATAGGTTGTAAACAGGGTTTCCGGTAAATGTCCATCCAGACTTTTCCTTTCTTGCAGGTGATGGTAAGATTGAGGAAATTAACGTTATTAGTGCTCCCCTGGTCCAAATGTAACATCAATCCATAAGGGTTATCATTGATTGCATTTAGGAAATGTTGCATGTTATGCTCATTTTTCCACAGAATGAAAATGTCATCCACGTATCTGGAGTATAAAATAATGTCATCTTAAAATATGGGTAGGACGATGTTCTCAAGCTGATGTAATACCAATTTGCATACGACAGCAGACATTGGACTACTCTTTGGTACTCCTCTGCCTTGTAAGAATATCCTTCCTTCAAATTCAAAGAAAGACGTATAACATATTAAATCGGCTAATTTCTGTGTAACAACCACATATACTTATGCCAATAATGACTTGAATTCAGTTAAACAAGATGTATTGATAGTATTTAACTGTATAAAAAGCAGTATTATAAATTAAAATTTAAACACAATGAGCAATTATTTATTGTGATATTGTCACAATACCAGGCTGCAATTTTTAATTTATTTAATTTAAAATATATGCACTCCATCTCAAATTAGTAGTCTTTTGTCCCTGTACATGATACTTTTCCTTTACTGACAGAGTCACACTGGTTATCTATTAACTGCTTTCAGGTAAAATGTTTTGAATTAAAATAACATGATTTCCAATTTGCATTGGAAGTTCATATACAGTTAATCATAACCTTCTTCCATATCTGGTCTTGAATTTCATATATCTAACTCCATTCTCAAGATTAAGGAAAGACAGACAGATGGATGACAGTGGGAATTTATAGGTCTACCATTTTTTCAAATTGCAACCCAAAAATTAGCTCAAACATACAGTACATAAAAGTCACAATATACAGACTTGATCTTTATAAATGAAATATGAACAAAATAATAAGAACACAGTCTGAGAACTACTCAGTAAGCAATTGAAAAATACAATTTGTAGCATAAATAGAATTGAGTACATGGATGTAATATTAAGCATTATTTCTCATACTTGTATCTCAGATGTGTTAGAATAAGGGCAGGTGGTCAGCTAAATGGAAAAACTTAATAATCAAAACATTGGAAGTGTGCTGGAGAAAAAAGTTAGGGACAGAAAAAGGAGGGATCACTGTAACCTGTAACCTAGGATATATTCTGCTATTATAGATCTGTTAGAGTAATCAATATAAAGTGCTAAAATTAAATATCAGTTTATAAATCAGTAGTATCTATGTGAATGTGCATAGATACTACATGATTTTAAAAACATTTTTAAAAAATTTTATATTCAAACTTTGTATTCTATTCAATTTATGTCATTTCAAATCTGCACTTCAAAAGTTTTGTTCTGAAAAAATATTCTATTTCAATGCCTGATGATGATATTTATATGAATATCAAAAACACTAGCAAAGGTATTAAAAAGCCCTCTAATGCCATTTTCTGTTGACTTATTCTTTTTTTCTCTCAAGTAAGTGTGTTGGCATGACTTCCATAGTACATTTTTACTTTATTTTATGAGATAAATACCGAAAAATGGATGTTCTATTCTATCAATATCTTATGTAATTGTATTGTAGAGAAATACACAAAAAAATCAATTTTTCTTTCTGTTCTGATTTATGAAGGGGAGATAATTTTAAAATTCTAAAACATTATGTAAATAATGAAATAAAAGTTAAAAATAAAAAAGGTAAACACAAACCTAAGTGCAGAGAAAACACTTTATTACTTCGATAAATTCCCTAAATGCATTTCGCCAAACAGTAGGGCTATAGTTTAAGACTCCAACAATATCCTATTACTGATTTTCATCTACACATCCAACAAAAGTTTCCCAGCATGCAGCTGTCACTACACCAGTAAATTAACCATGTTTTGCATAATTATGGCAAAATGTTCTTTAACTTTTCTTTTTACATTTTTTTTTTTAATAAAGAATACAATTATGTAATAATTTGATAAAATAATCTGACTTCATTGTTTTAAATAATTAATTTTAATATGTTCTATTACATGTTGAAGCTGGAAAAACTATAGCATAAATTATATGCTCAGCTCTTTTTCTGTTGAAGTGCAGAAGACATAATGTGATACCTAACTGTATTACCCTTAACTACAAAGCATTTCCTTTGTGTTTATGTTGTGCTACCTAGTGTAGAAAAATCCTTTCTCACAATACTAATCAGAAACAAACACAAGTGTCTAGCAGAGGTTGAGCTTAAGTTTTATGTGGCCCATCTATGCTTCTCCAAATTCTGTGACTCGGCATCTCTCCATGATCAGCTTGGAAAATTTCAGTGTTGCCTCGGGCTTCACAAGAGCAATAAAAGCAAAACTGTATAAAAAATTCCAGTGGTTCCTTCAATCTACACTTAAACAATGCAATGAGTGTTGCCCGTTCCCTTCTACAACTACATAGGGGAGCCTATTCCTTCCAAAATTTGCCGGATGTTACAGCGAGAATTTAAGTTAATCCCTCCTCCTCATGGCTCAGGTACCTTGGAATTAGTTCCAGCATCCCTGGCAGCACCCAGGAATTGTCAAGCAGGGTCCAAGTACTCACAAATGGAACTCTCAGTTATCTCTACACTGGCCACTGAAAAGCAACTTTCCTTCAGTGTCAAAAATCAAACGAGCGGCTGAACTATGAATCATTACTTGTCTGCTGCCAATACAAGGCTCTTAGTCTCAGACAAGGATAAAAGGTTCATGCTTTACCCATAAGTGCTTACAACCTATATAAAATGAATGTCATTGCATTATATCTAGGGAATTCGATCCCGGTCCTTATTTCTAATCCCGGGATTTCGGGATTATACTTAGTCAATCCCGGGATCCCGGGATTATTTCGGTATTGAGGGTTAATAAAAAATAAGAAAATCTTACAGAAATCAACAAATCATAATTTAGACAAAAATCAACATATTTTACAGTATACACCTAGCTAATTTAATCACTCTAACTAATCAGACTCAGAGTCAGACTAACCAGACTTAAAATCACTCAGTCTTCATGTTAAATTTATTCTTTTTTAAGCATCACTGAGATCTCTTTAAACTCACATAAATTGAAAAAACCTTTATGTAACAAACTATGCAAATAAACGTTGAAAATTAACAAAAATCTCTCTTAACATCGACTAAATAGACTACTTTCATATAGCAACCTAGTAAGTAGGTAGTAAGATAAGTTTCTTAGCAAAAAGTATTTAAAAATAATATTAATCAGTCACATTTTTCTTAAATATAAAGAAAACTAATCTAATAGGAACATTCTAATTTGAATTGCGAAAATATGATCTGAGAAATAACAACGCATCCTGTGTCTCATCACCAAGTCTGCTTCTCAATTTGTTGCACATATATGCAGCTGCTGAGAAAACGCGTTTAGGTTTGATGGAAGTTGGAGGAATCGTTAGTAAATACTTATAAGCCCGTTCTAGTTATAGCTTCGAGGACACGGGGAGGTTGGAAGAAAACAGTCCGGTCGACACAGATCGGGATTGTAGGAGTAAAGGCTACAATCCCGATTGTTTCGATCATTGTAAGCATGCCTTTCTAAAAATAAACACGTTAATTTTGTAAATTCGGTCTCTGTGTGAGTCTCTCAGCATCCAGCAAACCACTACTCCCAAACGTAAAAAGACTTTCTCGCATCATCCTGACAGATCACGGGCAAGGCGGGGGTCGTAACCTTTTCACCTAAGGTCGACCCCCCTAAGCGAGAGGCGTCGGGTCTATATTAACCACACTGGCAAAACAAGATGGCTGACACATTGACAGGTAAAACGCACTGAGTAGTGCTCTCGACTGCGCCAGAAAATCGATTGGCGCCCGCGAAAATTCAAAAATACAAAAATGAAGTATATTACCAAGTAACCCAGTGAGAACTGCTTGCCTATCATTTTAGTTCAAAATACAAGAAGTTTTATTCCAAGCAAGCATCGCAAGCCCGCTAGGTTAATTTCTGCTGCTTGCTTGGAATAAAATTTCTCATATTTTATATTAAAATGATAGGCAAGCAATTCTGTAAAAGCACTGGCACTGAACGTTTCGCTTCATGCAGTCTATTTTGCAACTTTTTTAAAATGATGTCAATCCCGAAAATCTCGGGATTAGGAAAACTTAATCCCGAAAATTTTGGGACTGAAAAGTAGTCGGGATCCCGGGATCCCGATTTTCGAGATCCCGGGATCAAATCCTCTAATTATATCCTTCTGTGCCTCACTTCAATGCAGTCATGCATGCTAACTCATTACTTATCAAAGAATGTTTTACTGCACAAATTCTGGAGATCCGTGAGGCTTTGCTCTTTATCACAGACAATAATTACTTCCGTTTTAATGGGCAAACACACCTCAAAAAACAGGATGTCCCAATGGGTTTGTCATTGTCTCCTGTCTTAGCAGAATTAATTATGAGGCATGTTGACAACAGGGTTTTTGACTTCCTGCTCTCTATATCTTACCCACTATTATATCTGAGGTATGTGGATGACATCCTGTTTACATGGCAGGATACAGAGGACATGTTTCTAGCATTAGAACATTGTCTCACTAGTGCTTACTCCTCCATCAATTTTACCTGGGAGAAAAAAATCCAGGAAAAATCTTGTTTCTAGATCTAGACATCTCCAGGTCACAGGAGGGGTTGGTTTTCTCCATTTGCCACATAATCAGCAGTATTCCCTGCCACCACCTCCACAATATGTCAATGAGACCATAGCTCCCCTCATTAGAAGGGCATTCCTAATAACCTCTATTCAAGCTATTACCAATATTGAGCTTGATTCCATCCATTCAGCATTATTGGATGTGCCAATTGGATGTGGTTGCCAAATACAACCACATCCTAAACAGGATCAAAAGGTGGCTCTTCCCCACCCCAGTTTGTGGAACCCAAGGGAAGGATAGTCCAGCCCTCTTTACCGTATTGTGGTCACCTGTCAGCCCATATTCCTTGAATTTACCTATCTCACCATGCCCAACTTTACAGAGGCTTTTCTGCAATGATAGGGATGCACTTTTGCACTTGGAAAAGTCAGGAGTATATTCAGTTCCATTAAAAACACAACAACTGGGATATACACCCCTGCTACATAGAGGCTATCACCAGAATGCTGTCCTCTCAATTAGCTGAGCACCAGCACTCCATAGCCGTGAGATGTGACACTGAATTGTCCAAGATGGTTGTACTGTACAACATAACTACAACCCACCTTAGGATGTTTTTGTACTACTTAGGAGCTGTGGTGAAAGGAGCCTTGTGTTCATTTGGGAGTCTCTCCTCACCATATTGTTCGCTCCATGCAACTCCCCCACCCTTGATATGCCTGATATTTGGGTTAATTTGTAAAACATATAAATAATAATAACTGACTGCTTGTCTCCACTTCCCTACGTCTTTCTATGTGATTGGCTCCACATCTCTATGTGCATGCTTGTAGATACTGTGTGATTTTAAAAATGTTTTCAAAAAATTTTACGTTAAAATTTTGTATTCTATTCAATTTATATTGTTCCAAATCTCTACCTCAAGTTGTCTTTTTCAAGTTTTGAAAAAGCATTCTATTTCAGTTGTCTGATGACAATATTTATATGAATATCGAAAGTGCTAGCAAAGATATTAAAAAGCCCTTTAACACCATTTTCTGTTGATTTATTCTTTTTTCTTTCAAGTAAGTGTGTTGGTGTGACTTCCATACTATGTTTTTACTTTATTTTATCAGTTTATAAAATTGTAAATGATGCTAGATATGTACAAATCAAGGTTTATTTAGATATTAAAAGTTGGTAACATTAATATGTAAATAAACCTTGTCTTGAAAACATATTTCTCTTGAAATATGTTTTCAAAATAATATTGACATAAAATGTAATCTTAATTTCAATATCATGATCATAATAATTACAAAAATATTCATTNGGTTTCCACAAACTAGTGATGGCTGTATCATGGTCTGGGAAGTATTCTCTTGGCACCCTAACATCCTTAAATGGTGAACAATATAGGGATCTGTTAGGTTATCATCTCTCCAGGCTATGTTTCCTTACAACAATGCCATGTTTCAAGGTGATAATGCATTGTGCCACCAGGCAAGGCTCACTTGGGAATGGTTGTAGGAACACAACAATAAAGTCTACACCCTACCTTGGTCTTCAAGCACACTGACATAAAATATTTTATAAAATAATTTGTATTAATGTCAACCTGAAAAAAAATCATCTATATGAAAAATATTTCATATATTCTTAAAGAATATTTTATTTAGATGCACATCGTAGTTTGAATTATACTTGTTAAATAAAACATTATTATTTATATTAAAGATGGTTAGCATCATAAGAAATAATGCCAACTATCAAAGATTTATGAGATGACAAATCACTTATTTTTATTACAAAATTTCATAGTAATTTAATTAGATTTAGCCTTGAAGTAACTACACAATCTGTCTACTTGGTTTAATATACAAGGGCTGTTTCTTTTTCAACCTCCAATAGTCCATAAAACAGAGACAAATGTAAATAACAAAATGAATTTATTACTAAAAGCTAGGTACAAACATGCTTACTTTTCAACATAGACAAATGCCTCAGTCTTCACGGTGATTATGTTGAAAAGTAACCATGTTTGTACCTAACTTTTGGTAATAAATTCATTTTGTTATTTACATTTGTCTTTGTTTTATGGACCATTGGAGGTTGAGAAAGAAACAGCCCTCGTATCAAATAAGAAATTTGTTTAACTATATTAAATCCAATTAATATTGAAAAACATCAAAAATTTGAAGTTTTCCATATTAATATTAACAGATTAACTTTTTATTTTCTTTGAAAAATAATTTAAAAACTAAAATTATCATCATGATGTAAAATAAACTTACCATGATTAAAATAGATGGAAATTGATATCATATCCAAAATAATAGCAGCAACATCAACTACAAGAGCCTTTTATAATAAAAAAAATATTCATAATTACCACTATTATCAATATTTTATGAAAAAAATGTGAAAATTTTTACCATGAAAACAGGTTCCTCAGAATCTCTATAATGAATAGACCAGATTATTAATAGGAGAAAGACAAGATTATAATATCCATAAGAAGGAGGTAACCAATCTATCTGCAATGCCCTAAATTAAATAAAATAGACATGTAAATGAAATACATATATAAACTTAATAAAATTCATTCCATATTATAGTTTTTATATTCACATACATTATACACTGAACAATCATTGCATTAAGAACATCAAGCCAGTATAATCTCAGTAAAAGTAAAAGAATGTTCTGTAATTGCTTCATCCTGTTCACTGCAGTTATAATGTGTTCATCTGTCATTTACATAATAGAAGGTAATAGTTGCAGTTAGGCATAAACAGGGTGACTTGAGTGACTTTCAGCATAGTCAGATTGTTGGGGTCTGGAGGCAAAGTGCCAGTATTTGTGAAACTGCTGCACTCATTGGTTGTTCTTGTACCACAGTAGATGGATCATACACAAACATCTACAAGATTGCACAGTTGCCAGCAATATGTGACTGATCCTAGGGCTGAGTGTTGCATTCAAGACTGCTATCTGAACAAGGACATGCCACAGTGGAACAGTTTACACACCAGTACAACAGTGGACAAGGCAGACATGTTTTAACAATGACTGTGCAATGTATCTTGTGTTGACTGGGATTCAATAGCCATTGACCTACACAAGTGCTTCTGTTGACCATGCTTCATTACAAACAACACCTTGCATCAGCAAGAAAAAGATGTCATTGGACTTGGACATGAGGAAGAAGGTGGTCTAGAGTGACAAGTCCCATTTCATGCTAAATCATGCTGATTGCTCAGTCCAAACCTGACATAAACAATACAAAGCATCATCCTTGGTTGCACAGTTTGGTTTCCACAAACTAGTGATGGCTGTATCATGGTCTGGGAAGTATTCTCTTGGCACCCTAACATCCTTAAATGGTGAACAATATAGGGATCTGTTAGGTTATCATCTCTCCAGGCTATGTTTCCTTACAACAATGCCATGTTTCAAGGTGATAATGCACTGTGCCACCAGGCAAGGCTCACTTGGGAATGGTTGTAGGAACACAACAATAAAGTCTACACCCTACCTTGGTCTTCAAGCACACCAGACTGCAGCACAATTAAATATCTTTGAAATAAGTTATGTTAGAATGTGGCGAGTTTATCACCAACTTCTCCATGAAATGTGCACCAACTGACAAAACTGCTCAAGTAGGCATGGATCAAGTTAAGAGCATCTGGTAAAGTCCATGCCTAGGATTTGCAAGCTATAATCACCCAGAAAGATGAAACAACCCATTATTAGGCAGGTGTTTCTGATGTAGTGATCATTCAGTATATATTCAACATAAATAAAGTTAATTAGATGAGTGTCTAATTTTAGCATTCAGAATAGCACATAACACAAACCATGATATTAAGGTCTATTTCATATTTATCTGGACACCCATCAACAGCAAAGCATTGTCTAAGTCCAATAGACACAAAATAATATTTACCGTATTTACTTGCATATAAGACGATATCACATATAGGACGAGGTGTGACTTTAAAGATCAAAATAAAGAAAATTAGATTTATTAATACAATTCTAATTTTATTTCATTTAATCACAAGTAAAATATCAAATGCATGTAAATGCATACATTGTCCTACAAAAATTACTGGCATTTTAAACTTTAAGGAAATATCTTGTAAAATCGACAACATAATTTGTTCATGTAAAGCTGGACAATTGGGAACCTTTTTTATCAATTCTTAACAGTCGAATCCACTCTCCATCAATTACACTTATGAATTTCTCTGAATTCTGATTTCAGAATAATCATCTGTTTTCACATGGGAATGGATTAAAACTTATATTGGGATCCCGTATGATTTTTTAATTTCAATTTGTATTGCTATTCATCTTTATTCCTGACAATACACAAGAATGGAACGACCCAAAAAAACCTTTGTTTTTAAACACCAGAGGGTAAGCATCCGGTAAAAAATGCAAATACACAGTTTACAAAAATGATTGGAAAACACAAAAAAATCCTTCGCTCACACATACAGGACAACCTAGGTTTTTGAAGCAGTGAAAAATGAATAAAAAACTCGTCTTATATGCGAGTAAATACAGTATTTACTAAGTTTTGATATAATATAATAAGAGGATAAATTTTTTGTCTTCCTGCAAAACTAGGCATAACAAGCTAGTATCATAATATTTTAGTTCATATCATGGAAAAGTAATAACTGTCTGGATAAATTTGAAACAGTTTATTTTGATACATTGCTGTTGTTTTTGATATCTGTAAAACAACAGTATTACATGTTTTTTCATCATTTATTATATTACATCAAAACTTAGTAAATAAATGTTGTTTTGTGTATACTAGACAATGTGTTGCTTTTATTTTAAGTTGCTGTTGATAGGTGTCCAGATAAATTTAAAACAGATCTTAGAACACTGCAAAGGTTTGATTCAATTAAAATTTTTTTAAAATTTTTCTTATAAACTTTACAAAATTATAAATATTTTTTAATCATATTCTAGATTTTATAAACATTTTAAGCAAATTACAATATTTTTAAAAATGATATTATTAAATACAGGTAACCCCTATATAACATGGCACTTCTATAGCACAGATTCACTCTAACACGGTTCAAGAATTGGGTAAAACCCTCATACAACATGAAATGTAATAAATTTTCACATACATAAGTACTAATAGTTCACGTGAACTATTAGTACTTAAGTATGTAAATTTTCTGTTCTGCCTTCTGTTGATACACGCAATCCTTCTCGAAACTTGTTTCAGTGTTGCCAGATCGTGACATTTCTGATTTTGTTGCCAGATGTTTTATTCTTCATAAGTGCTTAGCACCATATAAGGAAATTTATAAAGATCTTTTAACTAAAAGCAAGCAATCTAAAATAACATATTTTTTGCAAAAGCTACTAGAGCATGGATCTGAAGATAATGCAGAAAAATGCTCAGAGGATAAGGATATCTTGCCAAAAAGAAAACGTCCTCGGTTAATAGTGCTTAGTGATGACGAAGAAAACATTGTTTAATTTATATTAATATGTATCACTTAAATTTTAATAAAGATATTTATCTTTAATTATGAAAATATAATAGCATGTTTTTTAATTTTTGGAACCTAACCCCCCTTTTCGTACTAGTTCTTTGTTTCGTATAATACGATAATTTTTTGGAACATAACGCCCATGTTATACGGGGGTTACCTGTAATTACTAATTAACAAATATGTTATATAATTCTCTAAAACTTACCATGTAGTCAATAAAAAGTGTAGAAAAAAGACTACCTGAAAGGCAAAAAAAAAAACATTTTTAAAAAGGCATTATTATTATAAAAAATATAGGAGATTACAATTTTTCTTATGCATCTTTATACAGTAATTAATGAAATCATTTACTATAAGTAATAAAATATTCTCATAAAACATATTAATTCAATTGGAATATAATAAAAATAATTTTTAATATTTCATGTAGTGAAAACCTGAATTTACAAAGGTCAATGTAAAAAAACTGAAATAATAAAACGATATTTAACTTTTTTATACAGCACCAATTTTTTATATAATATTCAGAAAAAAAATACACATTTATTATGAAGTGTAATTTATTCAAAATGCAAAATAAGGTTACTCGTGTGAAAAGTATACTATGTTGGCAACAAATTTATAAGTTAAATTTAAAATCTTCTTACGTGAATATTGGAAAGCATATAAATTAACACTCGTAAAACTTAAAAGTCCAGTAGTAAACATTTAATAGCAAACAAACGTTTTCGACCGTACTTTCGGTCTTCTTCAGGTTTAAAAACCAGTGAGATTCGAACAAGTGAAAGCGTAGAACAACGATTATGAAACTATTTTCAAAAATGGAACAGCACAAACGGATTTTAAAAGAATAAACAGTTATGCATGTGCATTCCCATGGCGATGGAACAGTATAAGTAATACATACAATTATATAAAAACATGAATACACCCAATGGCGATTGGTTCCTAACTGCTGGAGTGGGCATTGCCTGTTCCTTCATAGCAGTACTTCCAAGCATGCGACACATTGACCACATCATTAGAGTTAATGCAATTGGTGCGTAATCTGGCTTTGTAAATTTCAAGTGCCTCCAGGTTTCATAGGTGTTCCACACAGTGAGAAAGTTTGATCAGTTTGGCCTCATGTAGGTCAGCACTTATACCGGGTTCAGTGGCATATGTTCATAGGGCAGTGGTGTGCCTTTTATTAACAATATCGTATTTGTGTTCCTGCAATCTTTTATTTAAAGAGTGTTTTGTGGACCCAATATAAACTAATTCCCTTTGAAACCTGTTGTTCCATAGAGGAACCATGTAAACACCCAGTGCTTGCTTTTTATTGATCTTGTCTTTGCCACTGCGGAGTAGCCCATATACAGTGCTGGGCCTCTTGTATGCAATCTTAGTATTAATATTGGCAGCAATCTCTCTGTAAACGGAGTTGAGGTGGTGGTTGTACTCAACCACTGCACGAGACTGTGTGCTATTTATGTTGTGTGTTTCATGGATTGCTACTTGTGTATTGGAAGTGTCGCGTGCGGCTATTCATGTGGAGTATGTGCGGGCAAGGTCATGTATAAGGTTGTTGCTATATCCGTGCTGTACTGCTATGTTCTGAATGCGTTTCAACTCTGCACACTCCAGCAGTTAGGAACCACATCCCCTTTGGGTGTATTTATATGTTTTTATATAATTGTATGTATTACATATACCGTTCCATCGCCATGGGAATGCACATGCATAACTGTTTATTCTTTTAAAATCCGTTTGTGCTGTTCCATTTTTGAAAATAATTTCATAATCGTTGTTCTGCGCTTTCACTTGTTCGAATCTCACTGGTTTTTAAATCTGAAGAAGACCGAAAGTACAGTCGAAAACGTTTGTTTGATATTAAATGTTTACTACTGGACTTTTAAGGTTTAGAAGTGCTAATTCAAATTTATAAGACTGAGTGATACTGACAACCCTCTTGTTTAGCATTTCAATGAATCCTACAATGAACTTCTGACACAAGATTTGAACAGTAACAGATTGAAACTTTTGTCAACTATTTATTCATCTTGTTAATCAATCTCTAGCTTGATTTTGCATGCTATCCATTAGTATAGACCAGCCCTTCATAATAAGCCTGAAATTTTCAATTGATTGGAGTTTGGATACATTTGGATGGTTGTTTTCTTTAGGCACAAAACTGATGCTCAACCCAATGAGCTTTGTTTGAGTCTGCAGGCATAGTAAGCAGTGACTAGATCAAGCAAAAAAAAAAAAAAAACATATCCTTCATTGTTTGGGTAGTGCTTTTGGAAATAAGAAACCAATCCTTCTCTCAATGCTTTTAGTTGTATAAGTGTCCTACTTTATGGCTCTTTTCAACCTCATAAAAAATGATTCTGATGGTCTTTTTGGTCCAACTAAAGCTGAGCTAGGAACTCTTGTTCAAATTTTGCCTGCAGTGTAATCTTTTCTTGGCATCATGCATTTCTCTCCTTACAAAATAAGTTTTACGATGAAACTATATATTTATGAATAATGAGTATTACTAAGAATAATAAAAAGGAATATCTCTGATGCCTTTGAAGAGAGTGAATAGTTACTGTTGTTGCCTCTGTTCTTGACCTGGTCAGTTTCTGGCCTTTTCACTACATATCCCTTGTCAACCTCTATCCTTTTCATAGTTTTGTCTGATACTTTATATATTTTAACAAACAAGTTGAAAATGAAACTAATTTTGGTATTGAGGAATGCTTCAGGCTGCACTTCTCTTTGTTGTCCAATTGTATCTTTGGATGATCTAAATCTGACTTTCTGCCACTATCACAACCTTATTTTTAATCTATCCAACATCTTGTAAACCCACCTTTCCTTGAAACCAGCAGTCACAAAGTGTTTAATGATGTTTGATTTTTTCATATCTGGATAAAACATGCATAAAAACTCTACTTTTTACTGACTCTCTTTCTGTTTATCTCCAGTCATTCTAATGTTTCTGAAAAAAGTAACTGCATATTTAATATCATTTGAAAGCCGAAAGTTCAAGGTCTAACTTATATATTCATTCTACTATTACAAATGCACATGTGCATCATGAATTCAAGAATGTATAAAAATTTGTGTGTTGTTTTTTCCAAATTCCTTCAAATAAACCATATTTGCAAACTGCAGAATTCCAAAATAAGAATTGCATATTGCAAAAGGTAGTATATTGACTTTCCTGCATTCATTTTATGCAATATTGAATGCTGGATACTTACATATTATTCACAAAATAAAATTCTTTTTCATTTAATTCATTGAAATATCAACAAATTTAAAAAATTTTTTATCATGCTCAGCAGAAATTTTTAAAATAGAAATAAAATATCACATATATTAAATGTAATATTTTATCAAAAAAATTTTTAGTATTTCTATAAAATTATACTGAGCTAACTGTTTATCCAATAATTTAAAAATAGCTGATAAGATTACTAGATTAATAGCTTTCTTTTATCTCTCAAAGAATCAACACAAAAAACACAGTTCAAATAAGGATACAAAACAGTTTATTTAAAAATAAATAATATGTAACTAAAATAAAAGCACTTTTGCTCATAAAATTTGAGCTTCTCCAGTTGTTGCTGTTCTAAAATCAAATTTAAGTTCAAATGCTTGAGTTCAGATAGTTTAAATGTTCATAAAATACATGACCGATTATTAGGATTATTTTTCATAATTTTTATCATCATAGACATTTAAGAATTTCATCATAAAACTGAAGCAATACCAATAATGAACAATCTACTCTAAAAAAGTTGTTCATATTAACTGAAGATTTATGGCTTTTCACAATATTAATAGTCAGGTACATTAAACATATTAAAAATAAATTGTTAAAATTGTTCTATAGCAGTCATAACAATAAAGAAAACAGGAATGTAAAATTTATAGTAGTAAAAGATGTAGGAAATATTAAATAAATTCTATATTGTCCTATTAATGTATACTTCCTACAAATATTAATTTAAAGTAAAGCTAGTAAAGCTTTTTGTAATAAATTTCATATTTAAATATGCTTTACTAGAACTATTAATCAATTAACAAACGTTTCATTTACATTAGAAAGATTTATGAAATCAGCATCAAATTTTATATTAACAAGTAGAATAATAGTAATTTCACAGTTAATTATGTTATATTAATATTTCAATCAAATTAAAATAAATATAACTCAAAACAGGCAAACTAGATATCTTGAATATTTTTTTAAAACACAGTTCATAAAATTTCTAATTTGAATAAAATAAACTGCCATATTTATTTGCATATTCATTTTTCACTGCTTCAAAAACCTAGATCATCCTATAGGTGCAAGCAAAGGATTCTTTGCATTGTTGCAATAATTTTTGTGAACCATATATTTGCAATTTTTGCCAGATGCTTACCCTATGGCATTTAAAAACAAAAGTATTTTATCCAGGTTTGAATTGTTCTTGTGTATTGTCAAGAGTAAAGATGAATAGCAATAGGAAAAGCAAAGCTTTTAAATTGAATTCCAAAATCAAGCGGGAGCCCAATATGCGGTTAAGTTCACTGAACTTAATTAACGCTGAACTCAGTGCTAGTTATCAAGAAGCTAAGGTTAAGTTTATTCCCAGGTGAAAATAGATGGTTATTCAGAAATCAGAATTTGGAGAAATTCATAAGTGTAATCAACGGAGAGTGAATTCGACTGTTAATAAGCAAAAAGGTTCAGAATTGTCCAGCTTTACATGAACAAATTATGTTGTCAATTTTGCAAGATTTTTCCTTAAAGTTTAAAATGCCAGTAATTTTTGCAGAACAATGTGTGCATTTATGTGTATTGGATATTAATACAATTCTAATTTTATAAATCTAATTTTCTTTATTTTGATCTTTAAAGTCACACCTCATCCTATATGTCAGATCGTCTTATATGCAAGTAAATACGGTATTTCTCCAAGAATATCAACAAAATCATATTAGCTAACTTACTATTTCAATTTAATAATAAATAACTAAGAAACAGTATGATCATCATCTTAAATGTTAAAAGTCTTAAAAGAGTCTCACTGGATTAAAATATAGGTACTTTAGCCATAAATCTATTTCATAAATTTAAAAAAAATGATGAAAATATGATATTGAGTAATGAATTTTGCCTATTTTATTTTAAAATAATTTATTTACAGCATTTGAATTTAGTTATTTCTCTTTAATTGTTTTGTTATATTTTCATTATGCTACTGATATTTTATTAA